GTTGCTCGGAGTGCTTTTTGATCGGAGCCTCTCCTTTCGCTCCCACATTCGACAGGTTGCAGTTTGTGGTCACCAACGTCTTAGCTTCATGAGGAAGGCCCTGCCCATTCTCGACAGCAAGGCCAAGTATGCCGTGTATCGCGGCTTCGTCCGCCCAGTACTTGAGTACTGCCCGCTTTCATGGTTGGGTGCGTCCCAGTCTATCCTGAACCAGCTGGACCGGGTACAGCACCGAGCTCTAAACCTCATCGGCCCAGGGTCATACCTCCCAAGCCTCACTGTTCGGCGTCAAGTCGCAGCACTCACATTCCTGTACAAGCTGCATTGGATCGACGGTCCCCCAATCCTGACCATCATGACACCACCGAGGGCAGTTGATAACCAGCACCGGCGCTCCACTCGCCACCAGCAAGAGAACCAGCACCAGCACCAACTAGCACCGACACTGCCCGCCGGAGCCCGTAATAGTGCTCTCCGATCATTCCCCCATGCCACGATCCAAGACTGGAATCGTCTTCCATCTGCCCTGCTACGCAACCTTCCCACGCAGAAGGGAATGCAGGCATTCAAGGAAGGCGCCTACAAGTCTCTTCGAAGCCGAGACTGGCGCTCAGCCACAGATGCCCTCTGAACACTCCCTGAACATCCTCTCTGCTTGCACCCTGGCTCCCCCTTTTAATTTTTTAATTTTTTATTAGTATTATTTTTTATTAAGAAAGGGTTTGCTCCCCACACCGGAGCTCGCGCTATTCCGCCGACTTTACTTGACACTTGACTGACTCACGACTGCCGTCCAGAGCACACGAGAAGTCCATCGATTTCTTGCAAATCATCGCCGAAGTTGCAACCACTACTTCGTATTTTTTATTTTTTATTTTTCTTCCTCTATCACATGTATCATCTTTCCGTTTTTCCTTCCTCTATATAAATGTACCCCCCCCCCCTCCCCTCCCTGTGCCTAATCCTCCCCAGTTGTTGGTGCACTGAAGTGTCGCTGAGCCAAGACCTCAGGTCGGCGGAGATGCTCCAGTTTCACCACCACAGTTGCGTCTGCAACCACCTCTATCATGCAGTATTCTGTTCTCGAGTTTCGTGGTTTCTCGTAAAATAAGAACATAAAATAAAATTTCAAGTGATACGTGGTACGGATGGTGTCGGTTATTACATGGGAGGTGAGAAAAGGAGGGAGAGAAGGAGGGGTGACAGTCAAGTAACACGTTAGTTACAGTGACGGCGGGCAGGCAGGCAGGCCCTGGCCTGGTGGCGGCAGGCAGGAGCCGGAGGCGGCAGGCAGGTGCCGGCGGCGGCAAGCAGGTGATTAAGTGACGACAGTGCCGTAGCGCGAGAGGTAGAACTTATTCTGGTGTCGACATTTTGATACTAATTCTGATTTTTTGTTGAGGAGCGTGGCTGCGTCAGCGTGGATGATTTTGACCTTCTCTGCTAAGCACAGGCCGCATCTTTTGAGATGTTGCTGTAGGTTTTTGCTCTGTCGACGATGGACCATCTGATGTCGTACTTTTCACCCAGGTCCTGCAGTGTCCACAGGTGCTTCGACAGCTGCATGCTTTTGCGGTAGTTTTCGTATCTCATAGTCGTGAGGTGATTGCTATAGCGCATCTTGAACGGTGTCTCGCAAAGCCCGAAGTACCGCCTTTTGTCACCTGAGCTCCGGGCCGTGACGTTCGCTTGATAGACCACCCTTTCCTGCAAACACCGGCCGTCCAGAGGGCAAGAGGGTCTTCTTTGCCTGGCCGCCGCAAGAGAATGGACCAACCGACGCGGTTTGACTTGGGATACTCGCTAAAGAACATACCAATTCCGACCAACTACGAGTACATGCGGAGGCTGATCGAGAAGACAGAGAGCGTGATAAAAAGAACGCGCTGGAAGGCGCATTTCTTCCTTCAGGGCCAAGGCAACGCCGAACAGCAATCGGACAAGTTTGGGTTCAAGAGCAGAAACTGCTCGCCACAGGTTGAGGAGCTAAAGCAGTTCGAAGACGACCTGCTGAAGGTATTGGAAGACATAACATTACGGAGGACCACGAACTAGTTCCAAGAAACTCTCCAGAGAGATATCCAGGATATGAAGAGCACCGAGCACTTGATTATACCAGCAGGCAAGACCAGGAACTTATACCAAATGCTAAAGGACAAGTGCCGAAAGCTGCCCACCGAGAATGTGACGAAGCACTATGCGTCAGCGCCGGAAGGAGCTTACGGCGAGATAAACATGGAGGCAAGAGGAATAGCCGCTGACCGGGGGCTCGGTGACAGAATGGACGTAGTCGGCAAGGCTGGTGCATTTCTGACCCTTAAAGATCATAAGGAGAACTTCACCCGCGCCCTCCCGTGTCGATTAATTAACCCTGCCAAGACGGAGACGAGAATAATCAGCAAGAGTATTCTGGACAAGATCGTCCGAGCAGTGCAGTGCCACACCAACACTAATTTGTGGAAGAACTCGGCTGATGTGATAAACTGGTTCAAAAACATCGAGGATAAAGAACAAAATTCTTTCGCCTCATTTCACATCGATCTCAGAGCAGCTCCTCAAAGCGTCGCTCGAGTTTGCAACTCAGTTCAGCGCCATTCCCCAGCGTCACGTCGATACGATCATGCATGCCAGAAAATCCTTATTATTCCCAGGCGACAAGGTATGGGCCAAGAAGGACAGAGTAGGCTTATTCGACGTCACCATGGGGAGCTATGATGGCGCGGAAGTGTGCCAACTGGTAGGGGCGCTCCTGCTGAAGCGTCTTGCAGATATGTTCGGCCCCGCCAGCACAGACCTGTACCGTGACCATGGCCTTGCAGTATTCAAGAACAGGACGGGACACGAGGCAGACACGAAGCTGTTCAGAGACTCCGGGTTAAGAATCACGATCAGCACAAAACAGAAAACGGTCAACTTCCTTGACGTTACCTTCAACGTCGCAAGTGGCCGCTACGAGCCGTACCGAAAACCGAACAACGCACCGAGATACATCAACACCGAGTCGAACCAACCGCCGACAATCACAGAGAAATTGCCGGCAATGACCAAGAAGCAAGTGTCGAGCATTTCGTGCGACCAAGAGGCCTTCATCAATGCTGCACCGGCCTACAGGGAAGCACTATCAGCCAGCGGATTCCAGGCCGCACTAACATTCAACAACGGCGGCCAGGCAAAGAAGAGACAAGAAAGAAAGAGAAAAATAATTTAGTACGACCCGCCATTCAGCAATTCCGTGTCTACCAGTATCGGCCAGTATCCAGTATCGGCCAGTATCGCTGGTTCGAAAGCACTTCCCGGCATCGTCACCTCTTTGTAAAATGTTCAACAAAAATACGGTCAAGGTCAGCTACTCGTGTATGCCCAACATGGCCTGCATAATCAAGGGGCACAACCAGAAAGTGCTGGCCCCGGCCGACGTGCGAAAACCAGCAGAGGAATGTAACTGCCGAGCTAAACCCTCGTCTGGACAGCCGGTGTTTGCAGGAAAGGGTGGTCTATCAAGCGAACGTCACGGCCCGGAGCTCAGGTGACGAGAGGCGGTACTTCGGCCTTTGCGAGACACCGTTCAAGACGCGCTATAGCAACCACCTCACGACTATGAGATACGAAAAGTACCGCAAAAGCACGCAGCTGTCGAAGCACCTGTGGGCACTGCAGGACCTGGGTGAAGAGTACGACATCAGATGGTTCATCGTCGACAGAGCAAAAACCTACGGCAACATCTCAAAAAGATGCGGCCTGTGCTTAGCGGAGAAGGTCAAAATCATCCGCGCTGACGCAGCCACGCTCCTCAACAAAAAAAACAGAATTAGTACTTGTATCAAAATGTCGACACCAGAATAAGTTCTACCTCTCGCGCTACGGCACTGTCGTCACTTAGTCACCTGCTTGCCGCCGACGGCACCTGCCTGCCGCCACCAGGCCCAGGCCAGGGCCTGCCTCCCTGCCCGCCGTCACTGTAACTAACGTGTTACTTGACTGTCACCCCTCCTTCTCACCCTCCTTTTCTCACCTCCCATGTAATAACCGACACCATCCGCACCATGTCTCCCTAACTAACGTATCACTTGAAATATCACAGTAATATCGCGCTTTTGCCGCCTTTGCGCGCTATGCCACCTGATTTTTCGTGCTTTTTCGCGATTCACTCACTTTGCGCACCCCGTTTTAGCTACCTGCCTGGGTATAAATTTGGCCCCAGATGATGTACAGGTTATCAGTGGTCTGAGGATTGCCTTAGCTTTGCTATGTGCATGAAACGCAGCGTTACAACAATGACCTATCCGGCTGTCTCTGTTCTCTTCTGCCTTTTGTGGTAATGCTCCATCCTTGTGGTGTTGAACACTCTAGGCAATCTGGGAAATCTCGCTATTGTAATAATATTAATAAATAGAACTCTACCGTTGTAAACACTTGTCAGATATGTCCATTGTTCAGTGAATATATTTATTGCACTACGTGTCTAACTGATTGATAATGGAGTTCGACATTGCTGAGTGAATGCGGGAAAGAGGGGTCTGCTCTGAAGCCTTTTGCTACGAATAAAGCTGCAGGAAGCCTCACCACCGCTTCTAATCTCTCAAGATGTAGACAAAGAGCCTGAAGTGTGTTTCTGTCCTTAGTATCGTATGTATCGGAGAAAGATTAAGAGGAAAAAAGATAAATGAGGAATTCACCAAATAGAGGATCTAGATAAATCCAAATAGGGAGTACTACAAGTAACGAATGTGAATTTGATCTTCTCCTGCTGCTTCTACATGCGTGGTTTTGCGATGTGCTGATCCCGATTTGTGAACTATTACCAAATTTCCAACTCCCTCTCAACGATGTAATCACCTTTGTGTTCTTTTCCCAACATATCTTCTTTCACAGCAATATCGTGTGGAAAGCCAAATATTACCAATGCTGCTTGGATACAATACACGAACATCACCCTTGGAAGCAATGCAACTGTGGAGTGCATGTTCGGTTACTATTGGTCACACAGCACATCTGAGACCACCCATAATGGCACCATTACATGTCAAGAAAACCTCCAGTGGTCAGAGGGCTACTGTGAAGGTGAGATAGTACATTATATACATACATGTATGTTGAAGACAATGAAAATGATATGTGTAAGCCACACTGAAAGAGGTAAACCCTTGTCAACAGTTTCACATGCTTTGCCGTTGTAATACCCTGATGTTATAAGGTCAGAACCTGTTCCGAAACATCGAGAGAATTCCCCGAAAAAATACCATTTGAAGGATGCTTCATCGAGAGTATAACCCTTCCGGTAGAGTTTAATTTTTATGAGTAGCTTTGGCAACACTTCTACGTCACCTATGGGCCCAACTTCACGCTTGCATGCAAGATGGGAGGTTTATTTCTCGCTGTGGATGACATGGTGATAGATGATGGCATCCTGAAAACATGTTTCCATGGAGTTGTAAAGTAAAAAAAAGTAAATTATCGTATCCGTTCCCGAAGGGAACTCACGACGGCCGCTAACACCCGATAAACCCTAGCGGCAGATGCAGCGCCTAACGGTGGGGGTGAGTGGGTAAGTCTCACAACCACTGGCACAAGTGCCGAAAGCGACCCCATTAGCTGCATCCATGTACCCCTTGTGCCTTGCCACAAGTTCCCAGTTGACTGTGGGTAGCAGCACGGCTGGAAAACCGCTCCCAGGCAGGACTTGAACCAGGTACCTCTCGTATCTCAATCATGGTCTTTGACCAACCCACTGTGCCTGCCTGGTTGTTGACATGGGGTATATTCATAGGCAGCACTGTCGCCAGTAGGTTTCCTGGAAGAGATTGCGGAACTGAGTGAAGTATGAGCAGCAAAAACAACATGCGTCTAATGATAATGTTCACAGTACAAAGTCCTTTCTTTGTCCAATAGGATTACCACTAGATACTTGCCAGTAAGATTGTGTCGTCCGCATCCACCACTGCTTCATGGATTTGGAGATATTCCAATCAATTTATAGGCAATGTTCAGTCAACTCCACCAGTACACTGCGCTAATAGCCGACTAGACCCTTCTGCACACAACTATCACCACTGCGAGGACACTTCCGTAGACGATATTGATAACTCCTTCAGACGGCTGTTTCGCTAATGCATAGCTCATCAAGGAAGATGTCATCAACATCGTCCACGGAAGTGTCCTCTCAGTGGTAATGGTTGTGTGCAGGAGGGTCTAGTCGGATAAGAGCGCAGGGAGGTGACTCACCATTTTCTTCAATGGCCGAGAGCTCTGTCGCACGCTGTAATAATAATTCTTAGGCATCTGTCATTTTCACCAATGATAATCTACGCCTGGAGCTATTCATTTAATTAATTCTTGACTTGTGAAGCATTTTCTTTTGCATTGCCTTGTGCAGAGGTATTTCTTTCAGGCTCTGTGATTATATGAAGTAGAATGTAACACAGAGACCGCCGTAGGGAAATATGTATGTATACATTACAATCTAGGATGGCGGGTTCTTGGGAATGAGATTATATTGTCTGACGATGTACTTTGGCTTATGAAGGAAAGATGAAACTTGATGAGTGCGAATCGATACCCAGAAATCTTTGTTTGGTGTGCATATCACCCTATAGGCTTATGAAGGAAAGATGAAACTTGATGAGTGCGAATCGATACCCAGAAATCTTTGTTTGGTGTGCATATCACCCTATAGCGTCAACGTGTAGCATTTCCTGATGCGAAGTGTCAAAGGTAACTCAGCCTACGCCTCAGCCTCACTCTTTTAAAAGCTTTTCATTCTTACTTTTCGGGGCATCAGGTCCCTTGGCAGTCCCCTCCTCTCCCAAATCTTCACGACCTGAAATGATGCTGCCCACACTGCCTCCCAAACCAGAGGCCAAACATCCAGTATTCTCCTTCTCCCCCCCCCCCCATTCATTTCCCAGCCAGGCCTCTACAGTCTCTCATTTCTTGGTGCTAACCGCTTTAATGCACTACCCGCTATCATACGATCCCAGCGTACCTTGCCTGCTTTTCGCGCTAGCTGCTCACAATTTCTCCTTGGACATTCCTGTTGGGTATACCCAAGTAAAATAACTTGTACCAGTGGTTGTGAGACGTATCCCCTCACAACCCACCGTGAGTTCCTTTCGGGATCGGACGCGATCATTTACTTACTTTCAATGGTATTATTTACGGGGATTTTGATTCTTCGAGTGTTTCCATTTTTTATATTCCAGGGGTGGTTTGCCGAGCAACTTTCACAGACGGGCGCAGGAGCATCAAGCACGGAACAGTTCGCAGTTCTTACACTCATTGGCTGCAATTATGGTCATACTCTCAAGTACGTTGGATCTGGAACTATTCCGCTCGTGTTCCATTTGGAGACAGTCTGACCTTTACATGTTCAGCTGGCTATTATGTAACCAACTCAACAAGGCAGATGAAGACACAAGAGACGGTGCAGTGCAGAGTTGACGGACGATGGTCGAAACCAATCCCATCTTGTTCAGGTAAGCTCGGATTCTTCCTCTGGCCTATCATCTAAAATTGCAATAATTATATTATATAATAATTATAGAAAGGAAAAAGACAAAATGGATACGAGTTAAGAGTTAAGAGTTTCTACATTTAATCATGGCTCACCATCCGAGTTCCAAATATATAATTATGGCCATACTAACAATATGACGACAGAGAACGTTTTTTAACTCTGAGTTTCACGCACTAAGCGATCATCAGAAAACGATAATAAGTAAATCTGGATCAGTACTGGTTTATATATCCACAAAGAAAAGTGTAAATGGCTGCATCACGGCGCAAATCTAAAAGTTGTGATTGGCGGCAGTGCAAAGCGTAAATGACTGCATCATGGGGCAAATCGAAAAGTGCGAATGACAGCAGTGGTGGAAGGTGATAACCACTGGACCTGGTTGTATCTTACTTAATTAGGTGATGGCTGTGGGTGGTTTGAAGCTCCGAAGGTACGATATTTTCCTGTACATTTGATATGGTTTGCTTCCTGAAGTCCATCACAATAAGCGATATATCGGTATAGCCGATAATAGTGTATATAGTGATATTTTAGCTGTATTTTTTCTGATTTGATTTTGATTTTGACGTGTTCTATCACTATAACCGGTATATCATTATATCCGATCACTTTATAAACGATACTTACTGTAGTACTTGTTCTCGTGGCGACACTTTGACACAAGCTTACTCCTCTCTTGAGAGAGAGGTGCTTGTGTGCTTGCGCGGGTGCCATTTTTTCTGCCAGGCACAGGTTGCACCTTTTGCTTTTGTTACTGTAGGCCACTGCTCCGCGGTGTACCGCTCATTGAATGCTGCATGCCTTCCCTTCATCCTTCTTGGCCCAGAAGTACTGCTATAGGCGGGTGTCCTTCTCGTGTTGTCTCAGTGGTGGGCCCAAAGTACTCCAAACATTTCAAATTTTCATGTAGGTAGATAGGAACTGCCAAAAGGCCCATGGTCTCGAGGATTTTAAGGAGACCAATTGGACCCAGGATGTGGAACATACGATGGTTTGGGGTCTTGCAGGGTTCCTGAGTGGATGGCCCGGCATTTGTGACGCGCCAGTCGTGAGTCCATCAGTTGACGGGCAAGAAGCTAGAGCTCACATGCTTGAAGGATATACATTACCCCCAAAGTTGGAACATTTTAGTAATTGTGGTCGATGTTGCGAGTGTGCCACACGATAGTCGGAAGTGACGGTGTTGTGAACTGGTGCTTTGAAGGTGTTTGTCGTTATGAAACCGGTGTGTCACTGAACGTTCCTATCCGCAGTGATGTTGTCGCTGGGCGAGCACTGCACAATGAAAGGATCTTGGAGGAAAATATTCATTAGTCTTCTCAGGCACTCCTGGCGAGGCGTGCATTCACTGACACACTGTGTACTGAGCGAGGAGTAGTGCCTTCTTGCAGGGTTGGCAAATGGCCGGTCCGGCATTTTTCATGTTTCCAAGAGACCAGTGTCGAGTCAGACAAGTGTCAGTCAGCCGCCAGGAAGCTCGACCTCGAACTTGGATCAGTCACATTGGTCTACAAGATAGATATAACTTTAACTTCATGAAATAGTACAGCTTCCGTTGCAATGCATTTACTTGCTCATCCATTGTTTGTCTCTTGGTGCTATGATACAGCTGTAGAATGCCCTGTACCATCTACATCGCACTTCAATGGAAACACATCGCTGTTTCCACGCAAGGAGTACTACAGATATGCCTTTCGCAGTGGTGCCATAAACTACGAATGCAACCCCGGATATCACATCGCTGGGCAAGAAAGCAATGTCACAATCATGGGAGTGAAGTGCGAAACTAGTGGAGAATGGTCACACAAAACAGGGGACATTAGATGCGAACGTGAGTATTTTTTAGACATTATTTTTGTTATGAATGCAAACATAATCCTTCATACTACTAGCCCAACGCACAATCTGTGATCACAATAAACATTTCTTTAACAGCGGAACATTTCTTTCAGTTAACTATCGCACAGCTTGTGTTTCCTCAGCACAAATGTAGCCCACTTTTGATCTTCTTCTGCTGCTTCTACATGCATGTTTCCGTAATGTGATGGTCCCGATTCGTAAACCCTTACCGAATTCCCAACTCCCTATCAACGATGTTATCGCCATTGTGTTCTTTTACCCGCACATCTTCTTTCACAGCAATATCGTGTGGAAGGCCAAACATTACCAATGCTGTTGGGATAGAATATACGAACATCACTATTGGAAGCAATGCAACTGTGGAGTGCATGTTCGGTTACTATTGGTCACAGAGCACATCTGAGAACACCCAGAATGCCACCATTACATGTCAAGAAAACCTCCAGTGGTCAGAGGGCTACTGTGAAGGTGAGATAGTACATTATATACATACATGTATGTTGAAGACAATGAAAATGATATGTGTAAGCCACACTGAAAGAGGTAAAACCCTTTTCCACAGTTTCACATGATTTGACAGTGTCATACCCTGATATTGTAAGGTCAAACGCTGTTCTGAAACACCGGGAGAATACCTCGAAAAAAGACCATTTGAAGGATACTTTATCGAGAGTATAAACCTTCTGGTAGAGTTTAATTTTCATGGGTAGCTTTGGCAACACTCTTTGTCTTCTACATCACGTATGGGCCCAACTTCACGCTTGCATGCAAGATGGGAGGTTTATTTCCCGCTGTGGATGACATGGTGATAGATGATGTAATTCTGAAATCATGTTTCCATGGAGTTGTAGACATGGGGTATATTCATAGGCAGCACTGTTACCAGTATGTATCCTAGAAGAGATTGCGGCACTGAGTGAAGTATAAGCAGCAAAAAATAACATGCGTCTTGTGAGAATGTGTTCACAGTAAAAAGTCCTTTCTCGGTCCAATAAGGTTACCACTAGATACGTGCCAGTATGTGTCATCCGCATCCACCTCTGCGTCATGGATTTGGAGACATACAATCAATTTATAGGCAATGTTGAGTCGCCTCCAGCATTACACTTCGCTCTTGTCTTAGCCGACTAGACCCTCCTGCACACAACCATCACCGCTGCGAGGGCCCTTCCGTAGACGATGTTGCTAACTCTTTCTGACAGCTGTTTCGCTACTACACATAGCTCGTCAAGGAGAGAGTTATCAATATCGTCTACGGAAGTGTCCTCGCAGTGGTGATGGTTGTGTGCAGGAGGGTCTAGTCGGCTAAGAGCGCAGTGTAATGGTGGAGGTGACTCAACATTTTCTTCAATGGCCGAGAGCTCTATCGCACGCTGTAATAATAAATATGTGGCATTTGTCATTTTCACCAATGATAATCTAAGCCTAGAGCTAGTCATATAATGCTTGTCTTGTGAAGCATATTTCATTCGCATTGTCCCGTGCAGAAGCATTTCTTGAAGGCTCTGTGATTATATGAAGTAGAATGTAACATAGAGACCGCCGTAGGGAAATATGTATACAGTACAATCTAGGATGGCGGATCTATGGGAATGAGATTATATTTTATGCTGATGTACTTGAGCTTATGATGGAAAGATGAAACTTGATGTACGAATCGATACATAGAAATCTTTGTTTGGTGTGCATATCAGCCTATAGCGTCAACGTGTAGCGTTCCCTGATGCGAGGTGTCTAAGGTAACTCAGTCTACGCCTCACTATTAAGCTTTTCATTTTTACTTTTCGGGGCATCAGTTCCCTTGGCAGTCCCCTCATCTCCCAAATCTTCACGACACACAATGTTGCTACCCACACTACACCCCAAACCAGATGCCAAACATCCAGTAGTCTCTTTCTCCTCCCAGTCATTTCCCAGCCAGGCCTCTACAGTCTCTCATTTCTTCGTCCTAACCGCTTTAATTAATGCACTACCCGCTATCATACGATCCCAGCGTAGCTTGCCTGCTTTTCGCGCTACGGGCTCACAATTTCTCCTTGGGCACCCTGTAAGAAGGCCATGCCTGTTGGGTATATCCAAGTAAAATAATAAATACTCCTATTACTAAGGTTTATCACGCATGGCACATCAGATTTTGTGTTGTTTTACTAGCGGTTGCAGCATTACATGTTACTGGAGGGGATATCATTTTATGGGAGGTACACATCACCTCTCACTGTTAGTTGACTCGGGGCAAGTCCGCTATAAACTTGCTAATTGAGATACCCATTCTTAAACAAGGTTGATGACCGCGTTGTAGAGCCAGATTTACTTGTGATTATGTACTTAACCTGGCTCTCCCTGCCAACATTATGGGATATATTACTAGTTGCCCCATAACCGTTGTGGGCATCTCCGATGCAGACTTTCCCTTATTGATTTGCTACTGGTTGAAAACAAATTGTTACCAGACTACTCGTTCTGTCCGATCTCTCCAGGCGTTACATGTATAAGTCAACCTCTGCAAAATGCTAACATAAACCAAAGTGGCAATGGTACACATCCATCAACAGTTCCAGTCCGATGCTCGCTTGGGACTGTGTTCTCCGGAATTACCCAAGCAGAGAATTTGACGAATGTCATTGTAACAGCGGACTCGGTTCGGGTTACATATATTATTCAAATTACAAAGGAAACAACTCGTACTCCAGAGGAACAAAACACAACCGAGCATCTCCGGCTCCTAAAAACAACCACGGGCCCAGATCCAGCGCGTGCAGAGTTCCGCGCGGATCTACTAATCCAAGTCACAGCAGAGTTCAAATATAGCACACTGTACAGCGTTGATTTGTGGACATCACCATACAAACACATGCATATCATGATCCAACACATGCACAAGTCATGGTAGCAGGGCTGCTACATTTCTCCCCTTTTTGGAAAAAGACACAGTCAGCGACGAATTACGGCTTCCTTCCAGGCCTGGCTGTCGTCGTAGACGTAGACTTAGCTGACTTAGCTGCCCATCGCAGATCAACACACCACCTGATCGTCTTGTCGTTTTTTGGTGCTGGCGTTAGCGGTGAGATGAAGTCGTTGTCATTGACTGTCTCCACTCTCTCAACTACGCCCTGCGCTACCCACTTGTCGACTTGCTGGCGAAGTGACGGCAAGAGAGCTGCAGCGACTCGCCGAGCGGTCTGTTGCACAGGCGTCGCATCTTCGTCCAGCGTTACGGCTACCGGACCCTTCATTGCAGCCAGGGCATCCGTGGGCTCCATGGACGCGGCGGGCATACCAGGCACTGACAAGACGTGGCACACATCTGGCCTGGTGTCTGAACTTTCCAGAAGGCCGAGTGCAATGCTGGCACCTTCACCGAGGAGGGATACGACATGGTAACGGCTGTCATCGATGACGTGGATTAGTTCCACACACTCATAACCACGGTAGCTGAGCCGTCCCTCGAACACTCCCACGGGTTGTACTTCCTGGCTACCAATAGGCCGAATCCGCGTGGATGGTGAGCCCAGGTCTTGGCCAGCAGGCAACTGGGACAGGGGCAGAATGGACACTGTGCTCCCGCTGTCCACACACATGTGCAACTGGTGTGCATAATCCAGTAGAATCGGGCGGAGTGGCAGGACAAACCCAGTCTTCCCCGCTCTGACACTAAACACGTCGCCATACTGGCTGTCCATCCAGCCACAGGGTTCTGTTCCTGCGGGTGGTGGCATCTGGCGTGTCATGTTACGGGACGACGCTACTGATTCGGTATGCTGCACGGCGCGGCTGCTCCGACATACTCTTGTAAAATGGCCCTTCTTATGACAGTTTCCACAGGTTGATTAGGTAGCAGGACAGAATCGTTTACCTGGTGGATGCTGTTCCCCACAGTAGTCACATAGTTGTGCTGGTCTGGGTGCTGCAGGTCGACGGTGCTGCATTCCTGAGGCAAACGAAACCTCTGCTGAGGAACCTCCATGAGCAATGTTTGACCCAGACTGCTGCTCACCCACAGTTGCTGTGGCCAAAGGTATTGCGTGGGCACTCTCTGCAACTTTTGCGAGGGTGTCTTCGCCGCTCTCCAGCGCTTTCTGTCTCGTGTAAGGCGACATCAGCCCACGGGCGAACAGGTGGACAGCTACTGCGTTTAAAACCTTCTCCACGTGGTGCTGGTTGTCAGGTCGCACGCACGCACGCATTTCTTTCTGGATCCGGTGGCGATATGCCTGGATTGACTCGCCATCGTGCTGAGCCACAGCAAAAAGGGCGGCCAAGCGGGAAGTTTTACTGCGCTTTCCACCGAAATATTCTTCAAACAAGTCCACCAAACCTTGGAACGGGTCATTTCCGGACGGAACAGTAGCATATTGCTGCCACAAGTAATGCGCAGCATCCTCGCCGAGGTTTGAGCCTGCAACTAAATGCTGTTGTTTCTTATCGGTGACGACATGTAGCTGGAACGCAATTCCTAGCTGGCACAGCCAAGTTTGCAAGTGGTCGGGGCCAAGCTCGTGTTCCAGGTCTAGCTTTACGCTGACTTTTACCTTTCCTGCCATGCCAAGTGTGAATCCTCTGTAATTTAAGTCCTGTTCACTGCGCCAATGTAACAGCGGACTCGGTTCGGGTTACATATTATTATTCAAATTACAAAGGAAACAACTCGTACTCCAGAGGAACAAAACACAACCGAGCATCTCCGGCTCCTAAAACAACCACGGGCCCAGATCCAGCGCGTGCAGAGTTCCGCGCGGATCTACAGCTAATCCAAGTCACAGCAGTGTTCAAATATAGTACAGCGTACAGCGTTGATTTGTGGACATCACCATACAAACACATGCATATCATGATCCAACACATGCACAAGTCATGGTAGCAGGGCTGCTACAGTCATGTACGGGAATTTACTCTGCCAAGCCAATAGTACCTAGAATGGAGGCTGCCAATGTAAGCTTAGTTCACTCCCGTGCTCTATTTACTCTCAAATCCGTTAGTAGGTTTTCATTTTTTGGGCGAATGGCAGGTAATAGGGAGTTCAATCGCAGACTACTAAAAGGTAACTAGTTACTCATCAGAGTTTTCATTATACAAATCAAGCCCCTTAGTCCCACTAAAACATAAATAAAGCGCCACCTTTCAACTGCTTTTTTCTGCACTGTGCACTGTTTGCCATAAGGTCGGTTTTCGCATCTGACGGCTCTAATGATAATTACTTGTGTGTAGGCACTTGTATTATTAAAATCTTGAAGGAAGCTTTACGCAGCTTCATTGTACTTGATTAGTTTGCATGCAACATGCCTACACTCAAGGATGATGGTCATGAAGACAAAACAAGTTGAAACGATACTTCTAATGGATTTGCGTGAAATGCACTCACTGCTCTCTTGAGTGTAGGCAGGTTTCCTGAAAAATATTCAAGTACGTGTATGTCACTACAAAAACAGTCTATGGGCCACCATTATACCAGAAATGATACACAAAACGTTATCCAAATTATCGGGCCTTCCCATCTGGCAACCTCTATGCTGTTCTCATTGTCAGGTGCAAATCACACTTGTAATAATAATGTCAGTGACATTCATTACTATGGAAAAAAGAAGAAGGCGAGTTCAACTATTCATTATTCGTTGTTACAAATACACCTAATCACAGCGATAATTTGACTGAGAGTTTATAACTTTTGGGGAAATGGTGGCCAATAAACTCTTATTCATACTTACCTCGGATAGTGAAATATGAAAATTCCGTGTTCTTATTGTAAGTAGCCCTGCCCTTGGCCATCGAGTACTCTATTTTGAGCAGCCTGGCCACTTTATGTTTACGAAATTTACGTGTACTTGACGTATTTCTTATGGTATTCTCACAGAAAAAAACAACATTGCGCCGGGAAGGAGACCGCCTGGCTGAAGTATGGCGGAAAACAAAAAAATCGGATCACTCCTCGGCGACGAGGAAGATGTTGCATGAAGGAAACAATTAGCAACGGCAGCCTTCAGAGTGCTATTCACGGTATGGTGTCGTCGATCGATCATCAGCGAAAGTCTACGGCTAAGGCTTTACAACGCGTTTGTCATCCCTGTGCTAACGTACAATGGAGGCACCTGGGGACTGACGGCTTCAGCATGGGAGCGTCTGGACACATTCCATCGCAGACAACTTCGGAGTCTCCTGGGTATCCGCTGGCCGCAGGTGATTCCAAACAGAGCCCTGTACGGCAGATGCCACGCAGACCCCATCAGTGCCCTCATGCGGCGATCCAGATGGGGCCTGTTTGGGCATATCCTCAGACTCCTCAAGACACGCCTGCCGCCCTCACTATGCGGAGTTACTTCACCTTGTGGGGACAAGGTATGGCGAGGGCGGCCACGGACAACCATCGTGTCCACACTATCCGCGGACCTAGAATCAGCAGGACTGAGAAGTCGGAGGAACTTGGCAGACCTGGAGCACCTGCGGGCCATCGCCGCTGACAGGCCAGTGTGGCGCGGGCTGTGCCAGGATGTACGCAGTAACTAACGGATGGGACAAAGGCATTGTACAGACCCCGTGCATTTAGCACTTACCATCGACCATGAGTTACAAACCTATCGTCGTTGTCTGTTATTCTTGTTTCATTTTTTGATCTTTCGAATAGATCCCGTGCATTGAGCACCTATCATCGAACATGAGTTATGTGCCTATCGCCTGCTGTCTTTTTACTTTTATTTTTTGTTTTCCTCTCTGCCCACTCTGCCTGTTTTCTGGCACATGCGAATACGTGGACTTACTGTTGACGTAAACGCGGACGTGCGTACAATAATATTAATAATTGTCATACACCATTACTTTGAGCGAAAACTCACAGTTTTGTTGCTGTTTACCCATGTAAACAGTCAAAATGGGTGAGGCGGAAGAAGTGGCGACGTGTGCATTGATGTCTGCACACAATGAAGGGGGACGTTCCATATAAATCATAATAATAAATAATAACATGATCGCCACACAGCTAAGACAATACATGTTACCCTAACGAATGTGAAAATCCAGTGTTTGCCTTTATTCTACAATGCGGAATAATCTCATACTCTTCGTGTTGATTTTTTCTCTCTGATGCAGACTATAATGAATGTGCCAACAGCAATCACACGTGTCATCAGCATGCAAACTGCACCAACACCATAGGATCATTCAGCTGCACATGCAACCCAGGATATGTTGGAAATGGGCACACAATCTGTAAGTGTTGGGGTAATGGCTTGACGTGTTGTGTAGGCTAGTGGCGGGCTAAATGTCATCGTTATTGCTGGTTATTCGTATAGATTTCATAATCAACTGAACAGACGGTGAAATACGTGTAGATGAAGAAATACATGTACACATGTAGATGAGCATGGAATTGTTGCAATAAACATTTTCGTGAACGTAGAAAATTGACGAATAAGAAATCAGCTGAAGTCAATTTCCTAAGGTCAACTTGTTTATTACTTGAGTACGCAATTACCATTTTTCGGCACAGCTCATCAAGCATATCAGGTACCAAAGAAAAAACACATGTAAATGAATGTTCCTGGCACATTGGTCATAATCTCTTCAATTTCGACCACGACCTGTGAATTGACTCTAGGCTTGTGAAGGCGGGCAGGCATAGGTCTAAGGCCATGATTGAGAAACACAGGGTAGATCTACTAGGTTCAAGTCCTGCTTGGAAGCGGATGGATTATTTCCAGTCGTGCTACGGCCCACAGTTGTTGGCACTCTTGCCCTGGCACCAGGGAAATATGGATGCTGCGAATTGGATTTTCGATTTTTCACCACTGGCTGGTGGGCTGATCTACTCGCCTCCCATGTGCTGAAAACGCAGTCTAACTGAGTCTCAAGCGAACCGTGATATTTTGGGGAAGGCTACCTTCCTTCCTACAACACATGAGTCATTCTGTGGCCTAAACTGAAAATGGCACAGATCTCTTGCAAGTGAAATGTATTCTTCTTATTCAATCTTCCAGGCAATCCGAAACTGGAACTATCATCCGCAGAGTCCATCAGCGCTGTCGTGATCTTCGGAAAACCCGACTCATCGAGCCCCTGGAATGCTACGAATATCTACACAAATATCAACAGCAGTACCGTGATCAGGGAGAATGAGGAAGACGAGCCGTTTGCCTTGATTGCATATCCAAAAGAGACTGCAGAGAGAAAGGTGCCAACGGTGCTCTTCCAGGATGTAAACACGTCTGGTAAGTGCACTGCGCAACGGCCTATTTACTGCATTGCCATCATCAAACGGTGAGATCCTCATTGATACGGTCTATACATTGGAAAATAGAACTCTGCGTCTTGAGATGAGGTTATGGCATGGAGAGATTGAATCATTATCCATAAGATCAATTTGCTTTCCGTCTCTCTCTCTCTCATGACATTTTATTGTGTGTTTCTCTTCTTTCAGATTAGTTTTGATTTTAAAATTTATTGTTGTTGGCTACATATAATACTTATTGCCTTTTCCGATTGAAGAAAGGAGGTAGTAAAATGCAAAAGCCCTTGATGCAAAGTTGCTCGCCTCTTGCCTTGTGAATGAGGCATGACCCAATGTTAACGTTTTTCTTCCTTAGTAACCAGCACGTATCGATGCAGCGAATGGGATTTTCGGTCTTTCACCACTTTTTGGTGGGTCGGATCCTCTCACCTCCCTCCGCTTAAGGAGCTGCCTCCGCGGCTTGTCCCCAAAGAGGGTGGTGGCGTCCCTACGGATGCGAAAAACTCGGCTGAAGCCGAGTCTAACGCGAACCGTGAATTCTTTTAACTAGCAAGAAACTTTTCAATTTACCATAACTATAATGTTTCTGGAATGTGTACTGCGCTTGCATATACATTTTAATAGTCTGGACTGCTTTTCTCTTCTTTCAGAATCCAAATGGGTGCGGGACGTCACAGAGACACCTCTGAACTTTGTCACATTCCAACCTGAAAGAGAAAACGTCACCATTCATTTCATCACACTGCCTTGGAAGACGTTAGAGACTGTTGAAGGTGAAGGCATCGAGCACCGTGCTAACTATCGTCCATTCCAGCTGAACTGCTATCGAAAGCCGCATATTTATGCAAACTGCTCATGGGATGAAAGTGCACTGAACGCCAATAACAGCTTCACCGCATCGCTAAATCAAGGCCGGCCATACGAGTTCCAGCTCTTTCGCATACACGGGAACAGCACTCTTGACATTCTGACTGGACCCGAAAGCAACAGTTCCAACAGTGATGATGCACAACGGAGGCCACGAAACAAGAGAGATAATTCCGTCATGGACGATGTCATTGCGGCGGATGGTCACACACTGCCAGTTCCCCTGGTCGTTCCTTTGGCAGGTACAGTACATGTAATGACGATTTGAGTATTGAAATTCTGTCATTGCCTTACTTCGAAGTAGAAAGATAGCTTTCTATCAGATACGTGTTTCCACAATCTCCAGAATACCGAATTAATTAACATTATCAACTAATCGTAGAGCTACAACAGGTTTAGCTTTACACTTTTGTTTCGTGGGTTCCAAACCCGTAAGTGCTATAACAAGCGGGATTACGGCATTTCATTTTACAACCTGCCATCTTGAATTACTACGATTCCAGGAAGCATGGGCTCCAACTGTAGGAGCAGCCCAAATCTTCTGCAAATCCCACCGAAGTCGTAACAACTTAGCCTGCGCCTGAAAGCGTAATTTACACGCGGTCCGCAACACACATAATTGCCTGACCTATGAGCAACTACATTTTCGTGCAAATTGACATTTTGCTTTCTCGACCCAAGCACAATCATGCCCTTGAATATCGAGTCTAGCCCCAAACTGGATGGAAATGTTGGTATAGATGAGCATTCTTACACAGAATTCTAACTTACATCAGCCACAACAAGCCCCTCTAGATCAGACCACTCACAGTCTCTCAAGAACAGCAGACTGGCTTGCGATGCCAGCATGTTAAGTGCATTCTAGCTTTCCGTCTACAGAACACATAAAAGACGCAAATCCTGATTAGTTGTGTGAACTTGTATCAACGCGCATTCATCAGAGAATGCACGACATACTGTCTAAAGTCCTCAAAACCCGGCCACGAAATCCCTTGTGGTGGATCATTTAGCGGTAGTCGCTCTTAACCTCGAGACAACATTGTGTGAGTATGAATAGAGTGTTCGGTACATTTCCTTTCAGAAATACATTGCCCTGTTCCAGGGCAGACTGCTGGATTAATAGTGATCAACCGTGGAACTACTGTTCTCCCCGGAATAGTAGTAAATGTAGAATGTGATGCTGGTTACTACATTACCGGTCAATCACAATCTACCACACAGAAGCATATCACTTGTGGAAATGGCGGTCAATGGACACCATCTGTGCCATCTTGTTCACGTAAGTGCTATATTTATGGATCCACCAATATGACACATACCCACTACATTAAAATAGTTTTCAAAATTGATTTTCGTGAGCACAGCTAGGTTGGGAACCAGTACCACCTACGTTCTTTGAGATGGAATGTTTTTGTACACTGATATGTGAAATGCGCTCTGTTTGGCTTGCAATGTATCAGTCCCACATGTGAGTCCAGCATGGAATTCCCCCATAGTAATTAATGCGCCAATTTGTGCGTGGAATGACAGGCCTAAAATGCGTTAGAGATCCCACTGGTCCGTTTGTTAAACAATATTGCTACATGACTTGCTGAGCTTCATCATATCTGATATGCCTGGCGTTGCATCAACCGCAACAAGCTTCTCTATATCAGACCACTCACAGCATCCCAGGAAAAGCTGACTGTCTTGCGATACCCGTCCAATGCAACGCAGTACAAACGTCAGCGGAATATAGCAAAAACGTTATCACGTGTAGCCCATAAAGAATACATCCAGTCCATTACAGCGGAATATAGCAAAAACGTTATCACGTGTAGCCCATAAAGAATACATCCAGTCCATTACTAATTCTCTCACCGACAGCCAGCGTCCATCACTTCACTCATTTATAAGAACTCTTCGTAAATCAGCATCGTCATTGGCTCTAGTCCAACTGCAATCACACAGTCTGACCAAAGTTCCGCCACTGCGCCTCTTGATATTGCGGATGCTCTGAATGAGCAGTTTACCAGCTTCTGCGTTAAGGATAGACCTCAATGGTTAGTTCCTCCTATCCACCAAATACCTGTAGAGTCAACGTTTACATCGCTGACGATTTCATCCCGTACTGTAACCAGATACATTCGCAGTCTCCCAAATAAGAAGTCTCCTGGTTACGATGGTATACCAAACGAAATCCTGAAACACCTCCAAGACAGCCGAGCATATCCGTTATCGCTGCTCTTTAACATCTCTCTGTCGTCTGGAATCCTTCCCTCCGCATGGAAATACGCATTAGTGGTCCCAATTTATAAGCGCAAAGGCTGCCGGTCGGATGCAACGAACTACAGACCCATCTCCCTACTGTGCTGTATTTCAAAGCTGTTTGAGCGCATTGTGTACGATCAGCTATATCGACACTTGTCACCGTACTTGCATACCATGCAGTCTGGTTTCCGGCGAGGGGACTCCACAGCTCTGCACCTAGTCCACCTAATCCAAAACATCATGCAGTCCCGACATTTGAAAGAACATACTGGCATGTGCTTCTTTGACCTGGCGAAAGCCTTTGACACTGTTTGGCATAGAGGCCTGATTGCCAAGTTGGGTGCCTATGGCATTGGTGGCAACCTGCTTTGTTTCTTTGAAAGCTACCTAACTGATAGGTTACAGGCTGTACGCGTCCGCAACACCCTCTCGTCTCCCCAGGCAATTAATTCTGGTGTGCCACAGGGGTCAATCCTGGGGCCACTATTCTTTTTAGTCTACGTCAGTGATCTACCGATGTCTGTCCCTAATGTTTCACTATTCGCCGATGACACCACAGTTTCCGCTTCAAGTAGTTGCAAGCAATTGCTAGTCAATGACCTCCAGAAAAAGATAAACTCCACCATTTCTTGGATGTCGACTTGGAAGCTGAGACCGAACACTAGTAAGACCAAAGTGATGTTCTTCTGTAGCGGTGCTAGAGATCAGTTCTGTAATGCGTCTTTATCATGTCCTGGCAGCTCATCGACCATAGAAATTGTCCATGATCATAAGCACCTTGGTATAATTATTGACGACTGTCTAACATGGGCTCCTCATGTAGACTATATTTGCAAGAAAATTAGTAGTGTTCTCGGCATACTATATCCTCATCGTTCTCATTTGCCAAATACATGCCGTTCTATGTTTTATCGCTCGTATCTATGACCTATTTTCCAGTCTGCATGTCAGTCTTGGTGTAGTCTAAGTCAAAATCTTGTGAACAAACTTGAAATCCAACATAAATCTCTTCTTAAAATATTGTTTAACAAGCAGCGTTTATTTCCTAGTCTTGAGCTCTATTGTATCAGCAATACTCAGCCACTGCAAGATAATCGCAAACAGCAGCTTTTCGTTTTGATCCACAGAATTCGCCAAGGTAAAATTCCCATTCATCTCTCCGTATTCAATTGGTTTTCTCTGTCCCGGTCCACTCGTAATAGTCTCTCACTTCCCCGTGCTAATTCAGCCGCATTTACCAACTCTCCTCTGTTTTTGTCCTACAGCCTTTGGCTGCAACTTCCCCAGCATGTTAAGACATCAAAATGTCTTTCCAGCTTTAAAAATGCACTCCGATCGCATAATGTAGTACGATAGGATCTCATTGCTGGATTCTTGTCTATCCATCTTTCTTCTCTTTTTCTATATTCCTTTCTTTTCTTTTCTTGCCGTGGTTGGCTATCACCCCTCTCTCGCACTTTGCGTGCCAATTGGTCATGAACAACGAGTTGAGTGAAATAAATAAATAAAATTAATAAATAAATACCAGCATGCTAACTGGCCTACTACGAAACTCTGACTGAGAAGACATAAAAGGCGTAACTCCTCACTAGTTGTGTCAACTCGGGAAAAGGTGGATCCATGAAAACATGAACCACACACTGTATAAAGTCCTCAAAACCCGGCCACGAGAGCCCTTATCGTGCACCTTTCCGCGTCGGTCGCTCTATATTATCGAGACAACAGTGAGTGAGTATGAATAGAGCGTTTGTTACATTCCCTTTCAGAAATACATTGCTCTGTTCCAAGACAGACCGATGGGTTAAGAGTGATCAACCCTGGAACTACTGTACTCCACGGAATAGTAGTGAATGTACAATGTGATGCTGGTTACTACATTACCGGTCAATCACAATCTACCACGCAGAAGCATATCACTTGTGGAAATGGCGGTCAATGGACACCATCCGTGCCATCTTGTTCACGTAAGTGCTATATTTATCGACCAACCAATATGACACATTCCTACTAAATTGAAATAGTTTTCAAAATTGATTTTCGTGAGCATAGCTAGGTAGGGAACCAGTACCACCTACGTTCTTTGAGATGGAATGTTTTATTAACCGCAATCAATAAAACGAGTTGAACCGACATTTGTGTACTTTATTCATGCAATGGAAAACGGTGGAGACGATGTGAAATAAAACGATGAAAATAATTATGAAGAAATGTTGTAGAGAAAAATATGAATTCAAACAAGTTTTCGCACGACACTCATCAGGAATCGTCGTTGTACTAAAGGACATTGAAACAAAATTGAACTATTATAGAAAATCTAAGTTAGAGAAATAACACTAAGAACAACAGCAGTGACATTTCTTCATATTTTCATCGTTTTATTGCACATCGTCTCCACCGTTTTACAGTGCATGAATAAAGTACACAAATGTCGGTTCAGCTCGTTTTATTGATTGCGGTTATCAAATTATTGTCTCCTCGTCGTTTGGTTAAATGTTTTATTTATTTATTTTATCTTATTCCGAGCAATACATGGCTGGGGCAGCCAATGACCACTTTGCATGGCGATTGCAGGGTTTTTATAGCCAACCACGGCTAACAAGGAAAAGAGTAAGACGTCAAGTACACTTATGTATGAATTGCATTATGGTTGGCTTACAATGTATCAATCCCAGATGTGAGACCAGCATGAACTTCTCCCGTAGTAATTAAGGCGCTATTTGTGCGTTGATTAACAGACTTTAAATGCGGCAGGGATTCCACTGGTTCATTTAGTTTTTTTAACACTTTTGCTAATAATGCTGAACCTTATCATATCATGTAACTTGCCTCTCGCGTGTTTGGCCAGCTGTACGCCCTATGGCTGCGTAGAGATAAAGTAGCGGAGAAGACACGCTTACTCCTGTACAACGCTATCGTACTGCCGCCATTCCTGTACAATTGCGAGACCTGGGGATTATCGTCAACAGCAATGGCCAAGGCAGACGCATTCCACCGGCGTCAAATGCGATCACTACTTGGAATACGATACCCAGACACAATCTCAAACGACGACCTATACCGCAGAACCAAAAGCAACCTTATATCAGACACAGTTGCATGTAGGCGACTACGAATGACCGGTCATGTGCTACGGATGGACACGGACACGCCACCGCAAGTGGCCATGAGCGGGTATTTTGACAAGGGCAACAAAGCACCTCGTGGACGACCAAGGTTGACACTGGCCACAAGTCTGGTCGCTCAGCTGAATAAGCTGGGTGTGCCAATGAAGACCATGGAAGACCTTTCCAGGTGCCGACAACAAGCAGCAGATAAGACAGACTGGAAGAAACTGTGCAGCTCGACACCCGAAGAGAAATCAGTATCAGCAGCTACTACACCTAGCTGATGATGCTCACAAGACAGAAGTGGAAAAAACACTGAATTTCTTTATTTAGTGCTCTACTACGCGAAATGTGCTATTATTATTATTATTTGTAAAAAGGCGACGTGGAGACAATAATCTTAATAATGCAATGAATATAACTAAATGCGCACTCATATCACAACCATGGGGACGAATAGTGTATTCCAGAACGTTTTCTTGTCACAATTATCAATGGAATTCGTGACTAAAGAGAATGATGAAACTACAATAGGATTTATACTCTACTGTGGGTCGTACATATGACTTGTAGAGTAGGGCAATATATGCATGCGATAGATGACGGCCCATAAAGCATAACAAATTTACACGTTGGCGAAACTTTTTGAACACAGTAGTGAAATGGTCTTGGAATTTAAGATTAGTGCTGATCTCAACGCCTAGATGGATTACGGTACTTTTAACATTGAGTGATACGTTGTCCATTTGGACAGACGAAGAGGGTGGAGGAGCATAGTTGGAGAACATGGTGGTCTTGGCCGCAGAAAACTCCCGGTGAATGCCTCTAGCCCAGCGCTGGCAGCTTGTTAAATCCAACTGGAAATTGGCCAGATTCTCACCAACAGGTAAACCGATGTTATGAGTGTTGAGCAGTGTAACATCAT